CTCATGTGACCCAGTCTACGATGCCATATAGTACAGTTAATCCCTGATGCAGTCACCGTGATTCTACTGTAAGTACACAAAGATACATATAGAGTTCCTTCCTTTTTACCACGAGTAAGTATCAAAGCTCCCTTACTCATCTTCCAAGCATCTGATGTAAACGATGTGATCACTCCACCCTCTGACAACTGACCCACTGAAATAAGATTTCATGTTAGACTAGACACATTTCTAACATCCTTTAATTTCAGAACCGTCTCATCTATCTGAGTAATTTACACATCCTTTTTCCCAACTATATTATATAGGCTTCATCATCGCCCAAATACACTTTACCAAAGTTTCCCTGCACATAGTTTTATAGCACATCCATGCGTGGAGTAGCATGGAATGAAGCTCCAGAATCTATAATCAAAGATTTACTACGAGAATCTAGCAAACAAATCAAAGCATCATTATCAGACTCGTCAGCAATATTAGCAGTATTGTTACCTCTTTGATTATTCTCATTCTACTCAGTCCCGCTTCCAGTGCCCCTTCTGACCACAGTTTCAGCAACCCTCATCTCCACTACGAGATTTACTTCGGCCTTTGTTTCTCGAATAAGACTTTCCCTTGCCCTTTTTATTGCCTCCCTTATTCATAGCCCTATCTCTCTCCTTTGTATTGAGTGCTAAACCTAAAACAACATCCTCACCCGATGCTCTTCTCTGAGCCTCTTCTCCTAGTATCAATGCCACAACATCTTCCAATTTCATCTTTGTAGACCTGGAAGAATTGATTACTGCCACGACAAGTCCATTCCAACTTTCGAGCAGACTTGATAAAATGACAAGAGCTCTAATTTCATCATCAAAAATAATACTCATGGATTCTAACTGATGTGTAACCGTATTAAATTCGTTGATATGTTCAACAATAATAGTGTTTCAGACATCTTTAGGTTAAACAACTTTTTTATAAGATATACCTTATTCACCGCTGAAGATTTTTTGTACATTTTTTTAGGGCTTTGAATAAATATGATGTAGTCTTTTCTTTGGTGATGTTCGACGCAATTGATGGCGCGAGATACAGTCGCACAGTCCCAAGGGTTTTGCAATCAAGAACATCTCACTTTGCTTGCTCTATATCCACTAGTTTCGTCCCATCAATAGGTTGATACAGATCCTTATGATATAAAATATCCTCCATCTACATCTTCTAGAACGCGTAGTTCGTACCATTAAATTTTTCGATCTTGACTTTGTCTTTAGCCATTGTGTAAACCCTTGACCTCTTAACCCAGAACTCTAATACCAGTTGTTGGGATTTAAAATGCTTTAAACTCATAGACAAACAGACACAATCGAAGAACAAACCAAGAACATAAAGCAATGAGTAACAAGAAAGAACAAGACACAAAGATTTTACATGGTTCGGCAATTTGCCTACGTCCACGAAGCTGCAGGGATTTCACTATTGAAAGAGCAGAATACAGAGGACGGCTTTCAGTTACAATCGCCCTAAACACCAAAGTAGCTATTTTTATATGTCCTACGTACCGGACACCCAAGCCTTCGCTCCATGGACCAAGCCTCAAAAAATTTTCATTAAAAATCACACAATATTATTTTGGGTCGGATCATCATCTGGATTAACACACAAACTAGACTCTACAAAAGGCCTAACAAGTACAAGGGGAAAAAAATACCAATACTCCCTACGCCTCCTTTTTTTCTTGCTAGGCCATCCCACCCATTAAAATGTAACCATTACTATGATCAAATATCTTAAACAATTCAAAAAAATAAAAATGGGACTTGATACAATCAGACTCAGTTTTGGTTAAAAAACACACAAACTTGAAAAACCCAAGACACAACTACTTCAAATACGAAGATCCAACACAAAAAAATCAACAAAAGTACCCAAAATGATCAGATTAAGAATATTATGACGGACCTTATAGAGACAAGAAAGAGGGAGAGAACCATAGGAGAAATACATTTGAGCTATGAATCACAAAAGACCTCCTGTGGCCAGATCCAGATCTATTCATCAAAGATAGGATGCAACGGATGCTAAACTGGGTCTGTCCGTGAACTCCTCTATTATTCGTTCAGTTGAGAGAGAGAAAGGGAGAGAGAAAGAGAGAGAGACTCATACCTCCCAGTCGGCTCGTCGCCTTCATTGCTGCTCTCAACCCAGCAGTTGGCTTTGACTGAGAAGGCTCAGACGAAAGTGAAGGATGAAATGTCAGTTGAGAAAAGGGTAAAAATTTCATTACCTACTGTTATCTTGGTGGCTAGGTTTGTAACCTATGGAGGGAGTGGGTTAATTTTAACCAATATAGGTGGGTTACAAAGCACTGTAGCAATCAGGTCATGGCTAGACCTGGAATTTGTATTCAAGCTCACATTTTGCTTCCCAAACAAAGGATTTATGGGACCCATTGCTTTATTAACCTATCCATGTGGGTGCTAACCCAATTTATCCCACTACCCAAACACATCCTTAGCATCATGGGATCCAGTTCCCTCTGCCATTATCACTCGTCACAGGGCAAGATTGTGCTCTAATACCAAATGATGAGAATTGAGAAGATGACTTAATTTATCTAAGTAAATCTCACTTCTAGGGGGAACCCTTCAATACATGAAGAAAAGAGAGAAAGGGTTATTTTCTTGATACCTCAATCATAAAATTCATCTACCTTTATAGGGTAGGAATAATAAAAACAAAATTAAAGAAACTACTAAATCTACTCCCTTTATTGGAGGTGGCATGAGAATATCAATGCAAGATTGTCATGAATCTTTCTTCCTTGAATGCAGCTGGTGTGAGTTCCTCGACAAAGATTAACCAAATCCCTGAAGGTTATGCTAAATTTTGGGGTCTAACTCCATGGGCCCATATCATGATTGAACTCTGACAAATTTTCAGCAAGATCGATCACATAGAAATAAAAAATGATTTGAAGGAGTACAAATAAAAGTATGTCGAAATCCAAAACAGAAACTCCAATCAACAGTCGTTAAAACTTGTAAAAAAAACTAACTAAACTGCTAAGATGCTCGAACTCTAGGATTTTTGGAGCCACGGATTGAATGAGACCGTCGATTGAATTACTCTAATAATTGACCTAAGGGCAATATGGTAATATAATAAAGACATTTAATTAAATTGCACTAAAGAACAAAGAAGACATTTGGCACATCCTTTTTGTCTTAAAAGTACAATGCTTATATTTAATGACTTAAAAGTGTATTTGATTGGACTTTGGACCAATTTTCACATTATCAAATTATGTGGTAAAATTAGTTTAAATATTAGTATTTGTCCAATCATTAAATTTTTAATTAATCTATTCACCTCCATCACTCTCTCTGAGTTTTATCTTAATTTTACGTGTATAACCATGAAGAACGATCCATTATGTATAATAGTTTTCCTCACAGTTGATCACATGTGTTCAATTTGTGGTTCTTATTTTTGCTTTGATGATCATTGCACCAAATGTTGATTGCACCTACTCAGTCTATTGATTTATTCTTTAGAGTTTTTGTTTGAACGCTCTTGAAGTGATGGAATCGAATAAGAAATAGTACTTTGACGAATTCAGAACCTCCTTGTTTGTTCCTCATCATTCTTGATGAGCCCAAATTTAACTGGACCAAGTTCAAGTTATTCAAAAGACAGCCCAAGCCTATTTTATCAATTTGACCCAGTCCAAGATCCAAGGAGCCCGGAAAGATAAAAGCATGAGGGAGAGAGATTATTAGAATACACACTCATGAAGATCAAGATCAATCCTACATTAATTGTACTTACCTTTTGTAACTATTCTCCCCGAGTAAGTAGTGTTCTCATACTCACATCACCGCTTTATCTCACCGCCTTACCATACCTATATATTGTAAGTTCTCTCCACATTGAGAGACACATCTCAACACACCTTGGCACCCCTCTACACACTTAACTTCTCTCTTAGCTATTGTAACTCTCTCGGAGCTCTCTCCCTGTTACTTTATTCATTAATAAAGACTCCTGACCGCTGCCATTTTTCGAGAGTGGAGTAGCTCATCCGGACCGAACTACTATATATTTGTGTGTTAATTTCATATTTATTGTTTTGCCATTGGCTACCTTATTTATTGTTCATTAATTACATCTCTTCATATACTCAACTATTAATCTTACATGAGACCAATTTATGTATCATCAATTCTTATTAATTATTTCTCTACAATTCTTGTAGATGAAGCTCACTTACCATAGCACATATTGTGGTTTAGGAACATATCATTAGTTTTCTTTTGGTCAAAATAAAGGAAAAAATGAAAATCACTAGTTTTATTTGGTGACTGCTAAACTAGCCATCTTTCTTTCATAACAATAGTTAAAAAAAGTTATTTGGTGAAGATTATGTGCCCCGGTAGTAAGACATGTGCCAAATGTTTTGACTATCGCATTTGAAGCCAGTGTCACCTTTTAACACCAGAGTAGACTACTACAGCGTTGGTATCTCAAAACAATTTGTATGCCTCTTGATGTTGCTTTGAAGAAAACAAAAAGCATCTTACTATTACAACAGTTATGGGGCCCATGGCAATATTTGAGAAAAGCAAACCATTTATATAGTTGAGTGTCTAACCGAAAAGTTACCATCCATTAAAATATTAATGATGTTCATTTACGATTTTTTCAAAAACCTCCTACCTTTTTCGACGTCATTGATGATGAGTACCTTTGACTTCATAAAAATTGTAACTTGATTATAAATTGTCTTTTTCACTTCAATATGAGAAATTGGAAAAACATAATGTACTACAGGAAATTTCAATTTAATTGAGTTTTAGCTAATAAACAAAAGTAGAGAATCCCTCCGAAAAATGTCTCCAACACCAATAGTGCTCTCTATTTGTAAAGCACATTTTTCAAAATAGTGATCACTGATCAACATTTAAAACAAAAGTAAAATTTTCAATTAACTCTAATAGAATTCTTTGTTCTAGTAGGTGAATATCATTTAATTAAAAGGCCCTGTGTCATATTTTCATTCAATAACAATACACTGGAGAGTGAGTTTAACTTTTCTATTATGGCGAATCAAATTAAAATTTTTATTTGTTGTACAAATAGAGAATCTATTAGAGACTAATTTTTTATACTTGACTGTAGGTCAGTTTCACATTCTTCCCTCTTCTGAACTTGTCCAACTTTTTCTCTTCCTTCTGCAGATTTTTTGAGTTGATATGTTCAATATATATGAACATTTAAGAGAGGTTGATAAATAAAACTTCATATTATCACTACATGATATATTACTTGTGCCTACCTGAGCAGCCTGAGTTTCCTAATTGCTCCATATGAAGAAATGGCTTTTTCTTTTTTAAAAAGGCCAGACTGGAGAATAGAAGAAAGTACTCCCGTTTTCTATCAATTCACCATGGGAACAGTAGTTTGCAACTACATCATGTCTCTCCGATGATCAGCTTTCCTTGTCGTTTGAGCTCAAAAAGCATCAGAAGTGCAGCAGAGTCAAATGAACTCTTCTTATCAGCCCTTTGATCTCCTGTGAGTTCTAGAACCCCAAAGTCGGGAATGGTCAATGTGATTCGAGATACATAACTATTGAATCCTTTCCTTCTTTCAAAGCCCTCACCAAATTCAATGGGAGATCTGTGCAGGCAATATTAGTTAGTTGGCCCAAACCGAAAATTATCTACAGCTAAAAAGAACATAAATTTTATGAAAGGTTTGGAGAATGTATAATTCAGGAAGACTAATTCTAATACACAGAAAATGAATGAAGAAAAACATTAATGAGCTCAAATATGTTTCACTGACCTTGATTTATGCTCCGTTGATTCAAACGTAGGCATTGGCCACTGCAGTCGCTTGCAGAGGTCATATAGTGAGGTTCGAGGTCCTCCTTTTTTCATGTTGATGGAAGGAAGAACTGCCAAAAGAGGGGAAAAGGGTACAGCCTTAAAAGAACAAATTTTGTGATAAGCTTATGTTACCCAGCAACTGGCCGGCTGAAAATATAAAATAGATAAAACCTTCAAACATCGAGATTTTTCTGCGTTTTGGTTTTGGTTTTTGTTTGTTAGACTATGTTTTCTGGAGAGGGGAGGGGGTATTGGTGGGAGGTAGAGTAAGCAAAGAGGAAGAAGAAAAAGAAGAATAGTGGTTAACATGGTCCTCACTAAATGCAGCAAAAGCCGAGATAATACAAATAACAAATGTTACATAGCTTACGATAGTGACTTCCAGTACTTAATGTGTCTGCAAATGACTGAACTCGTACGAATTATTAGCATACAATCTAATTCCAAGTTTTAGCTGATTTTATTTCTTCCACAATCATATCTGCTTAAGATTCCCTCTGAGAGTCTATCATCGAAAGCAGTTATTAAAACCAGATCAGATCGGATCGGACCGGCCAGTCAACCAGAAATCCGTCCAACGGGTGCCTAAGCCAGCCCGGTTTACAAATAGGATTGTTTATGTCATCAAAACTGGAACAAACCGGACGATTTTTACTAAATCCATGAGAGCCCGGCTGATTTCATCAAACCAAAGGTCAAGTTTTTTTTATATTTAAACCTTTTTTATATCTTAGAATATACTTGGCTTGCCTCATCTGATGAGGCCTTCCAACTACAGTCAGCTTCTTGTATAGACTGAAATACCCCTCTTATAGGCGCCCATTCTGTCTTCCTACATCTTTCCGATGTGGGATTGAACTCCAAATTGAGAGGCTTACTCTCTCTTCCATTTTTTATTGGTCTTAGTTACTTACCTTTTTCTTCCAATTATTTTTTGTTATTACATGCTGCTATTTATGTCAATCTTCAATACCAGTTTGTGAAATTATTTACAGGAATTGAGGATATTTTGTGTTTTTTATTTGATCTACTATAACATAAAACATATTAGTTCTGCAACTATTATAAGTTTTTAGCATATTCATTGTTATTAATAATTATTATATATTTTTAATTCTATGACCGGACTAACCATTTGACCCCACGGTTGAACCACTGACTCATTGACCCGGTCTTCCTGCTGAGTCGACATCCAGCCCGGTTTTGATAACTACGCTCGAAAGCGCATGTCAAATGCATTATAACCCCCACTTGCTCAGTCGTATTGATAAGCCAGTATCAAGCTCTGGCTATCATGAAACAGTTACTGCAATGTTGTAAAAAGTCGACAACAATGTTTTAAAGTCAATCTGCATTAGCCTCCTACTTCTGGTTTAAATTTAGTTACTTTAACTACCCAAATAAAGTAAGAAAGGTGGATAGTGCATACCAGGGATGCCAAGTTTATTGGAACTACCAACTTCCTTAGAACAATCATTGTTGAAAGGAGGACCTTTAGTTGACTCTAGGTGCAACTGAGATGTCTTCTGCTTTTTAAGGGCTATTGGCTCAGAAGATTCTTGATCAAACTTTTGGATGCTAATATGATTACCAGAGCATGGGGAAGAAGAAACACAAACATTGTCCAGGTCGTGTTTTCTCCTCTTTGAGTATGAAATTCCTCTACTCTGTTTCAGTGTAAGAGTCACAATTTAGCAGCACATGATATGAAAATTTTGCATGAAGCAGAGGCATGCATCATCTGCAGTAGACAAACCTATTGCTACTAATCAAGTCTTAATGCAAAGTTCCCAATCTATTTATTGCTACGATTCAAGAAGTGACAATAAATACAAGAACACACCTTTCACAAAATAACAAGCCAAAACATTTGTCAGTTGATCCTTTACAAAAAAGGATTTTAGCACATAATATGTCTCATGCACGAAGGTTCTTACTGGCTCTAGTTTATCCTAGAGTAAAGTTTGGTTAGTTTAAATAAACCTCCAAGAAATTCTGTTTCCAGAAACACATACAAAGAAGAGGATGAACAAAACATATCCAGGTATAAAAAGGTCCATCAAGCATCCAGATTAAAAATGAAATATACGCACCCGGTCTTCTGAATTTCTTTTGATTTATATTTCCACATGATATAACGATACTGAAGTGCTGAAAGAAGGTTTGAAAAGCAAGGCTAATGATACACACTTACAATGAGCACAAAATACACCTATTCGAGAAAGATGATTTCTGTACTTTCTCCTATATTAAAGCTTTGCCGGTTTTGATAAACCTCCAAGCAATTATGCTTCCAGAATATATCCAACCATAAAAATGTCCATCATGCAAGAATATGCAAGAATACACTATCATTTTAAAGCAACAGACCACAGCAACTGGCATAAGGCATAAGCACAAAACAAACCTCCAAGTCCTTTAGCAGATGAAGAGCTGCCTGCCCTTTTGCAGCTTTTCTACTCTGCCCAAATCCCTCTCCAACCAACAGGACATTTTCCAGCTGTAATCTAAGCTCAGCATGCACTATATCGCCCTTCAGTGTACAAGTTTCTTTTATGAAGTAACCAAGAGAATCACATAACTCTATCAGTTCACGTAGCGGAGGCAGTTCAAGGTTATCGGGGGTCACAATGGGCGACAACAGAGTACAAAAGATCCTCCACACTTCATCCAGATTAAGCTTTGTATCAATTAGAATCGCCCCTGCAATACTTTCCACAATGTCTCCAAGCGCCTGTAGCAGAAAATAGGAACAGAAACCAAAAAAAAAAAAAAATGAATCACAAAGCAGAAATCTCTAAAGTTAGAGAAAAATAATGTGAGCAGCTAAGCTACATGCGTGCCCCCAATTTCTAGATTTTATGCAAGTAAATAAAGAATACAGCAAAATTATATGACATATGTCCACTTGTATACATGGAAACAAAATGGGCAAGTGAGAGAACTAAACTCACCTTAGGACCTTTTGTGTTTTGAAGTGATTTCCTGGTGCTGCAAGAACCAGAAACAGACTTTGCAAAGTCTGTTATTTGACTTAGAAGAATGCCAGAGCAGTGTTGGAGATGATGATGAAGGTTTTGTTTCACAGCGGCATGAGCAAAACTATCATTATTAACAGAGGCTGAACGCAAGTCTGTCAATTCCCCTGGATCAATATCGGTGTGGCTTTGGTAAAGATACCATGTGATAAGAATATCCAACACAGAGTCCCCAAGAAATTCAAGCCTCTGTCAAAGATTCGGTAAGTAGAAAGGAGAGACCATATGGAATATGTAACTGTGCGTGGTCACACAAGTGCTGCGTTTGACAATCTTGTGACATTAATAATGTGCAAATATCTTTGATCACCTCATTGATTACATGAGTAGACTTTGTTTCTCATGTGACATGCTAATTCCTATGTTTCGATAATCACATAATATATTCTTTTTCATTGTGTAGATTAGTTCAAAGAAACAAAAGAAGATAGATAAAACAAGAAATTCCATTGCTACCTGGTAACAGTAATCGATCCCTAACTCTTGTTCAGATGCATGTGTTATGGCCTCCAGTAAGAGTCCCTTAACACAGAATGTGTACCCAAGCTTTGACTCCAGAGTTTCGATCTCTTTAGCTTTTGTGATGTAAGAGTGGAGTGATGCACTTTTTATAGCTTCATCCACTACTGTGGGCTCAAGCTCAGCATCCATACCAAGCCATTTCATCAATCGAAGGGCAGCAACCAATCCACCACCAACATAGTAAGCTCCTATGAGGGCTTCAACACAATCAGATATGGTTTTTGAGCCTATCCACCGATGACCTCTATCACAGCACTTCCCAACTACTACTTTTGTGTCTTCAGTGTGGAATTGACTATCCAAAGGCACCTCCAGAGTATCCACTCCATGGTCACAAGGTGAAAGATGTATAGAACGCTGTCCAGGAGCAGTCCATCGACGAGGTTCAAATGCATTGTCTCGTATATACTCCTGGAAATAAGATTTTCAACACACAGTAAATAAATAACTCAATCAGTACATTATTACACATCAAACAACACAAATCAAATGCATTTACAGGCACGTGGCCTCATGATCAAGAACATTCCTTTCATTAAGAGCATTAAAAATTTGCTACTAAAGAAAAACATCAAATTGGACCTCTTTTGATAGCTTCTTCATGTGACTGTAGCTAAGCACCTGTTATATTTAGAACAAAAAGACTTATAATCTTTATTTCATATCGGGACCAGTTTCTCTCTATGCAGCTATTGAATTGACAACAACGAAATGAAAAGTTATGATGTTAAATTGCATTGCATTTGTAAATAAATCATGTAATTAGTGATTGTTTGCTGAAATGAGTGACTGAAAGATATGTATCGAATACATGCTGGCTATTCACTGACAGAAAAAATGAGTGAACTAACTGCTGAAGCAACTGAAAAATTACAAAATTGAAGCAACCAAGGATGCAGCTAAAGAGTGGACAGCTCAAGGTGCTCCAAAGAAACAGAAATTGATATCAAAGGACTGGCAAGATATTCAACAGATTAAAGGGCCAAATGGAGATGACATTGCAAAATACAGGTAGGGGGGGTTGGTTAGTAGTTAACGAACTAGTAATTTGAATTCTCATTAGACTAGATGCATATTTAAGACAAAATAACACGACATTGGCCGAAATCTATTATCCTTGAAAGAAAATTGCAATTGACTCTGCAACAAAAGTTGTAAATTTTACGTTTGACCAAGAAAAGAGTCGAAAGGATTTAGCCATAATGATATTTAAGAATAATTATCCTCACAAATTCCCATCACATTGGATCTAACCCGGCTTGCTTCCTAGTCAAATATGCCCTATCCGTCTAAGTTTAATATGAAAGGGTAGAGTATCGATTTTTAATCTCATTATGACTTGCATAAGGTTTTTGAGATTTTTTGCTATCGTCTTCAACCAAGTTTCAAGCTTTGTGTCAAGGAATACAATCTGAGCTGATATGGGTGTATCAAAGGGAGAATGAGGAATTGAATAACTACACGGATCAACTCCCCAGTAGGATCACCCTTACAACCGACCTATGAACATTATATGCTTGATACACATTATATTGCCCATGACTGGGAATTGAAGAAAGTTCTCAATTATAAGCACCTAAAGCATCCCCATGATGTGGAAATTTTTTTGAAGTACATGTAGATATGATATAGAAGACGAACATTGAAATGGAAATTGTTTGCAATGCTAGTGGGCAATGCCACAATCAATGATGCAAAGCATAGAGACAAGAAGACTTGGCTTTGTGATAAGACACACGTGCCAGTCTGTGAGGACTTATTCCATGGGTGTTGTAGTGCACATATTTTTAATCTCATCGTCTGATCGGATGCTAGATACTGGAAACCTTGTTCTTAAGGTTAGAAAAAGAAACAAGACTCCATATTTGGAAGAAAGATTTGATAATGCAATAAGTCAAGTTAAACTGAAAGTAAGAAAGAACCATGCTTTGGATTATCCAACTACGTAGAATTTTACTAGGGAATGATTGAGAGTGCATGGGGATGAGGGATACCTAGTGTCGAATAGCATGACTAGAAAGTAAATATATGCATTATCCATCAGATGATGACTGGGAAGTTGCAAAAATACTGTCGTTACTATCAATTTCACTCCAAAACACCCCTAACCCCTCTGCTTAAATCCCACAAATCCAGTTCCAGACTCCCTAACTGTCTGGAACGCGCCAAGTCTGGTTTATTTGAACTCTAATTCCAGCTCAAACCCTTATTCCTAACCACTACCATCCTTGTAAAGTCAGCCCTACCATCAAACTGAACACCTCCACATGCATTTCGAAACCTTGCACACTTGGCCCGACTCACCACACTTAACCCTGACAGTCCTCCCCACATTCGATCCCACTTCCGCACTCGATCTTGGAGTTCTCAGTCGTCACAATCCACCCACCTTAAATGAATTTCGTCCTCAAACTTTTTAATTCCTATACAACAATCTGCGTTAAATAAATATACTATTCTCAAAATATCAGTTCATAGGATATACTTACCTTGACCCATTCTAGGTATTTTGATTGCTGGTCATCATGTTCACCCATCATGTCCTAAGATTTCCTTGATCACCACTTGTCTGCTTCTGCAGCATAGCTTGTCCTTGTGCTGCTGGTTGTTGTCCTATTAAAACTTTGAGTATGTACTCCGATTCCCCTACTGTAATTGCGGACATTTATTCCTCGTATGCCCAGTCTTTCCAGTCATAAAAAGTGTGCCAATCCCTAGCATTCACGTCATTCCATGCTCCACTATTTCCTTTGTTCTTACCATTATCATTGTACCCTGGTCGTGCGTAGGGATGGTTCCTTTGACTTCCATAATAGTTGCATGGCTAATTTACTTGCTGCTGGGCTTGCTCATTCCTAACCTCTCTCAGCTTCATCTCCTTTTCAATGATATAGGCTACTTCCACCAATTCATTGAAGATAAGAAGTCTAAACATTTTGAACATGGATTGGACCCCTTCCTTGGGAAAAATTGCGAAAACCACTTAGAGTTCACCAAAGCCTAATTCACTATCTCAAAACTAATTTACAAGGATTCAAGACTTATATCAATACCATGGTCAAATGCTCATTTCCTTTAATAAAACTCTCCACTAGATACACCTATCGATGATATAGATAGTTTCACTTGACCTCTCAATCGCAATGGATTGTTTAGGCTCCCGGTATGCACACTTCTTTCAAATGGTTTGATTGATTTCTGATCTAGATCTTTTTCTCTAAGGTGTGAGGTTGGATTAGACTCTAGAGTATCAAAATGGGTTTTGCCTTTTGCATTTAGAGATCTAGAGTTCTTCAAGGATTGCTTAAGGTTTGAGAGGATGTAGGCACAAATAGGATTTGTCTTGGGGAACAACTAAACAAAAATTCGCAAGTGACTATTCAAGTAATGAAAGGACAGTCAGAGGACAGTTGTGACCGGAATAAAAAAAGAATTAAATCAGGGATTGCTTGATCAACCTCAAGACCGCTCGATCGACCCAAAGGTCAGTCTCCTCTGCCCAACTTGTCAGCTTTTCTCAATTTTACCCACAAATGTTCAGAGACCTCTCTAACAAAGCCAAGCGAACAGAGGGCGATTCCTATTGGTTTTTAAGTTAGAACCAAGTAAAAAATTGTCTAATTGAGCACTAAAGGATGTTACTTAAATAGACTCTGATTAATAACTCAATCCTATGTTTTCAAAACACAATAAAGGTTTAGACAAAGATCTAAATATCATTTTAAAACGGTCGAAACCTCCAAAACATTTCTATTTCCAAGGATACCGAACTGAATCAACGATAGAATTGAAATTATAATACTTTAAGGTGTTTCATAATATTGAGGTATTTTGTAATGTTTCAATGCATTTGCAAAATTGTTTTAGAATATTTCAAAATACTTTAATATATTTCGACCAATATTTTGAAAAAATAATTCTTAATTTTTTTTTATTATGTTTCTGAAGCGGGTCGAAACATTTTTTGAAACATGTCAAAACGTTTCTGTTTCGTAAGTAACCGAAATAATGCACCGAAACAAAATTTTGATCCTTGAATTCAAAAAACTTTTTTTTGGGAAAACACCAAAAAGTCATTAATTGATTAATTACTAATTTCATTTTACCCTAATCGTCCAATTCTATAATTAAATTAAGGGTTTAGGTCTCTAAGGTCAATACCTGTTCTAAATTTTGAAGGTGCATTCAAAGTCTTTGTTATGTCGTAGTAGCTTGAACTCCTCCCGATTTGAAAGCGTAGCACCATGACAATAGAATAAGTTAAAATTTACAATAAGATTTCACAAAATTAGTCAATTACAAGCATATTCCTGACACACTAAGATTAACATTTGCATATGACAAAAGAGAGCGTGTTGTTTCCGTAATATGTCGATGTTTACGCTTTGCTACATCATTCTGTTCAGGTGTGTCAGTATAAGAAGATTAACAAATAATGTCATAAGATTTTAATAGATTACAAAAGGAATTGAATGAATATCATTATCAGTGGTCACATCGAAAGCATTTAATAACAGAAGAATATTAAGAGTGTATCATAACATGAAAAACAGTGAATATAAAAAAGAATTCAGATACTTCAGGAGATAGACTCAACAGTACCCGTCATCAATGAAGGTGACATAATATTTGGACTCTCTTTTTGTGGGAATAAAAGTAGGTACTCATAAATCAGAATGAATCACATTAAAAGGTGCAAGAGAGCTAGTAAAACTTTTACTAAAATGTGATGCAATAAACTTAGTTAACTTGTATCCACTACATTTAGAAATGTCACGACACTTTTACCCAAACTGCTAGTAAAGGCTAAAACTTTTAAATGAGAATGAGAAACATGACCAAGATGAGAATGCTATAAATAAAAATTAAAAGACTCTGGACTCAAATGAAAGAAAGACAAAGAAACAATAGAAATACTAATATTTGCAACATGCAACTAATCTAACACATACACCCCGCCCCCTTTTTCTTTTTATGATCTGTTCCAATCAACTTTTTAGAATATAGATCCTATACAATACAATCACAAGAATAAAAGTGGCTAACTAACTAAAATCAAATTCAAGATAAATTATGGAATATAATAGACATCTGGAAGTGTTAGTTCTGAAAAAATAATAGACCCAACACCTGCCAAGGATATTTGGGTACCATTGGTTGCAAGTACAGATATAGATAAAGAAAAAGAAGGTAAATGCAAATAAAGAGGAATCACAGATCATGCAATATGTAGCACTCAAGTCAAAGACCCGATCAATATGAGATACACCTGAAGGAACCGAAATAAACGAACCTATGGAAAGAGAGACTTAAGAGCATATTAGACTTTTGAAAGAAGAGAAACTTCTGTAACTGATCAGGAAATGTAGTCAATTTCAAACTAATGGACTAACGAGAGCTAGAGTTTTCACTTTCTATTATGGCAGTAAAAGAAAATAGAATAAAAATAATCAAATCACCTAAACCAAATCTATGCAAATTTAATTAACCCAAATCCAAAACACAAAGTCCAAACCCGATACAAGGGCTAGCAACCAACAAAACCCAAGGAAATCAAATCCCACAACAAAACAATAGTCCAAACCTCGATATAAACAACTAGACACCAACAACTAGAGAACTTAACAAATCAAACCAGCAACCCATCAAACACTAGTAGCCACACCAAATCAACAACACCAAAGTCGGAAGAAAATAGAAATAAATCCCAAAGTAAAGCTCAGCAAACACCAAGTAAAGGTCCAACAGATCAAGACCCAAATAACGAGTAAAGGCCCAACAGATCAAGGCCCAAATAGCAAACAAAACAATTCAACTCAAAAAGTCCAATGAAAGGATATTACCCAATGTAAACTAGAAACATTCAAACAAGAGACACAGTAGAAGACAAAGGCTAAGAGGCATTCAAAGACTAGAAGTTGTTCAAGTTGTACCTAAGGAGTTCAACTCAAAGATCCATAAGGCTACCAAACACCATGGGTTGCTCACATTGAACCAAAAGAGCACAACATTCCTCCATTGGGCTGTGACCATCACCTTGAAGATCCAGAAGTTTACCCGAGACCAAGAGATGAGATGTTCACGTTGGTCATGCAAAGTAAAGTCGAATCAACAAGGACCCTAGATCTTTAATTCAAATAATTTTTAAATTCCTTGAATCATTCAAACCGGTATCAAGGCCTCCTAGTCGCACTTCTTAGGTAGGGTTTCAAGTACCAAATCTGCCCAAAATACTCAAAAATCGCAAATCGAATAAATTGGACCCCATTGATTGAAAATCATTCGAAAAATTAAAAAACCCTATTCAAAAAATTGAAAACCAAACATATCATTGAAAAACCAACAAAAATCAAGTCTCGGGATAGGGGTTACCGAAAACTACTTAAAATAATGACGTCATTGCTTCAATAGATGAAGTCAACACTAGTCGAAAAATAGATTTTTTGTTTTAATCGAGTTACAGTGATGCTAGAGGTGTTTCATATCGAAGTATGTTTTGATACCATGAAAACTTCGATACAAGAAAAAAAAGAGAAAAAGAGGAAAAATATATTTGTACCACATTAGTCGGCTAACAACTTAATTATCAAACATTTAGGATATAGACCCTTTTATAATAGGGCAAAACAAACTATAGAATGAATAAACTACCCCTAATACTATAATACTCTTAACATTTTCAATGCTCTTCACGTATCTTTTTAATGAATATGAGAATGAATCATCTCAAACAATGCCTATGAATCTCATTTGGGAGAAAGTAGCACAAGTCGTGGTCTAAATCTTGAAGGTCCAGTTGAGCGGATTTGATGAATGGTATACACAAGCTTGTGCTTCCAACATTCTTATGCATCAACTATCAAGAATCAGAACTAGATCAGTATCTGGAGGAGCATCTATTTCCAAGAACTAGGAATTTTAAGGTTTTGCATTGGTGGAAGATTAATGGTGTTAAACTTACTACTCTTGCCAAGATATCTCATGATATCTTGGTTGTTGCATCAAAGGTCACCTTCAAGGTTGGTGGTTAGGTGCTAAGAAGCATGGACACTCTTACAAAGGTGACGTATCCATGTCAAACACTGATACTTCTTTGACACTCTCAGGCATGTGTTCTTTACTCTTTTACCCATGACCATAACTAAAGATGAAATTTTAATGTCAAAAATGTGTTTGCCACTCCTTTGCCCAACACATCTATAGGTTGTGTCTACTATTAAAATAAAAAGGTGTAGAAATGTAATTAACAAATCGTAAGACTTTGATTACTAACTAATCTTATATGTGAAAGAATATATAATTGTTCAGACTAGTGACGGTTACATTGTACTAAACATTAACTAATAAAAGCAAAATACGCATAAAATTGTTGCTAAAGAAGAGGAATTGAGAAGATGAGAATAATTATTATAATTCTATATGTTCGCTACACATTGTATATAAAAAACGATAATAATAACATATCAAATATAATACTCTCATCAAATACTCAAGCAATCGAAATGGGTTACCCATCATGTGTATCCAATAATTAATAGAA